CTGGGGTGCTTGCACTCAAAAAAAGGCAGCCCCAAAGGATGCATTCTTCCATGCATGGATGGGTTTGTGCCTTTGGTTGCCACCAGAAAGGAGATTATGGGTAAGTTGCCTGCTTGCAGGACTCATCCATAATGCTCATTCCTTAGACAAGCTGGGCTCAGCCCTCCTAATGCAGAGATTCGTAGAATCATGAAGGTTGGAAGGAACTCTAAGGTCCTCTAGTCCAACCATCGACCCACCCCCACTATACCCACTCATGGTATCAAGAAGGTTGGGAAACAACTCCAAGATCATCAGGTCCATCCCCACCATGTCTAATCCTAGAATCACCACATCATTCAGGTTGGAAAAGCCCTCTGAGATCTCCAAGTCCAACCCCAGCCCACCCCACCATGCCCACTGCCCACGTCCCTCAGTGCCACATCCCTGGAACACCTCCAGGGACGGTGACCCCACCACCTCCCTGGGCAGCTGTGCAGCACTGCTCTTTCAGAGAATTTTTTCCTAATGTCCAAGCTGAACCTCCCCTGGCACAACTTGAGGCCCTTACCCCTAACACTAATACGCGTCCGCTCTCCAGTCCCCTTCAGCTTCAACCCCAACTCGGCAGCAGGATGGCTCTCGGTGTCTGAAGACCTCACCAGCGTCACCAACGGGAGCTACAGGCTGCTGGTGGAGAACCCCGAGCGCTTCACCTCGGCCCCCTGCATCCTGGGTTCCCGTGGATTCTCCACCGGCTTCCACACTTGGGAAGTACACCTGGGTGGCATCACGAACTGGAGGGTCGGGGTGGCCCAGCTGCGTGGCGGCATCCATTGGACCTTCCACCATGACGCGCGTTCCGGGTTCTGGTATATCTATCGCCTTCCTGGGATGAACAGCAAGATGTGCCAGGCGTCCAACATGGCTCGCTCGGAGGTGGCGCTGGGGGACCTGGTGCGTATCCGCGTCGAGCTGGACTGCGACGAAGGCGAGCTCTCCTTCTACAACGCCGACTGCAAGACGCACATCTTCACCTTCCATGAGAAGTTTGGAGGCACTGTCTTCCCCTATTTCTACGTTGGAGGCACACCAGTGGGTGCAACACCTGAGGCGCTGCGCATCTGTCCCCTCCGCGTCCGCATCCATGAGGATGTCCCTGTGTAGGGCTGCTGTCCAACGCCACCTCCATCCTGGGGTTCCCCAGGTGCTCTTTTAGAGTCAACTTCCCTCAGAAAAAAAAAAAAGAAGATGACAGAAAAAGAGAATTTATGTGTGTTACCTCTTTTTTTTTTTTTAATTATCTTTAATAAACAGCTATTCTGGTACTCTGGTGTCACAGTTTCTCATCGTCTGTGCCCACATACCTCCGCCTCCATCCCGTTTCTCTCCATTACAGACCAAAGTGAGCTCATCCCTTCTCGTCCCCTTTTTAAGGGGTTTCCCATAAATCCCCACCTCTGGGATGGCAATGTGCAGTGTGTACTCAGAGGTGGAATGGAGAGGACAAAAAGCTCCCCCAGCACAATGCCACCAATCACAGAATCACAAGGTTGGAAACGACCTGCAAGATCATCTAGTCCAACCACCCTCCCATTCCTGTTAGTACCACAAGCTACTAAACCGTATCTACTATCATATCTACTAACCAACTACGGGGGGACAGCAGCCTCCCATTGTCCCGAGTCCCCACCAAGCATCCTGCACCAACAGCCCCAAAGCAAAACCCCGAGTGGGTTTTGATTTGCTTTATAACCCCTTTTCTCCTGTAAGTCCCTGCATGGTGCCAAGGACACCCAGGTGTCCCTAAACCCCAGGATGCGGTGCTCCAGGCACAGCCTGGCAGGATGATGACATTAACAGGCTGTTTCCATGGTTTCTCACCATTTGCAGAGGATGCTCCTTAAGAACCAGCACTGCTGGTAGAAAAACAAAAGGAGATGTTGAGGGGGGGACAACCCAGGGGTCCTCTGCCTCGTGACGTTGGCTGACGTGGTCCATCTCCAGCCCTGATACAGGGAACAGAGGGAGATCAGCATCAGCATCCTGCAGTGTTGTTCTGCCCATCACCTTCCAGCTGGAAATCTGGGCATCCCACGGCCCGTTTGGGCACAGCAAAGCATCCTTTGGAAGTAAGAAGCAGAAAAGCTGCTGAGCAGGATGCAATGTTTCTCTTTTCAGGCCCAAGGGGAACGTTTTCCTGCAGTGTCTGGCATAAAAATGGCAATAACGAGTGAAACGAAGCATCACTTCTGATGACAAAAGTGAAGCATTTTGACTTTTTCTGGACAATTTGTTGGGGGGAAAAAAAAAACAACCAACATTGTTTGCAGAAAACAATATGAATGAATGGCTTGGCTCCTTAAGATGGCAAATTTTTTGTATAATAAAGGATGCTGTTTCTTCCCCAGCACTGAATCTCATTCCCAGAGAGGCAGAGAAACGGCTTTAAGGCAGCAATGCCTCCCAGGGGCTGAGCATTTGCTCTCACACCCAGAGCTGGAAGATCCATTGGGGAACACGGGTGCTGTGTGGGAACCCCTCTGTGGCTCTTCCACCCTGAGCTGCTGCCTGGTGAACAGCTTAGCTCAAACCTTCCTCCTCGTGGCACTATGGGCTCTCGTTCTCTTGTTGATCCTCATGATTTCCACCTTATTTTTGGCTGTGGGTGCTCCCCAGCCGATGCTGCCCGGCGCATCCAGGGATGGAGCGACATTTCAGGCGATATTTCGGGGAAGCAGGCAACTCTCCCATTGGCTCACAGCCGGGAGGTGATGTCATTTCTGACCAATCCAGGGGAGGGCGGTGTTTTTTTCTCTGCTCCCCCCCCCCCCCCCCCCCCCCCTACCTCCTTCTGCATCCCCCTCAGCCCTGGGGCTGGGCACGGAGGATGCGATGATGGAGACCTCCTCTTTTTTGGAGAATGAGCCCTGTACGTATCCCCAGCACTGGGGGACCCCTCCTTGGGAGGAGCTGCAATGGGCACGAGGCAGTGGGAGGGGGTTGGGAGGAGGCCGGGGAATGGGACTGAAGAGCCAAAACTGAGCGTGGTGCAAAGATTGTGCTTTGGGAGGGTTCAAATCCATGGGTCCAAAGATGCAATGCTGAAAGCTGAAGGGAGAAGTGCTGGGAGGGCAATCCAATGGGGTGATGCTGAGCCTCCCCGGGCATTTTTGGAAAGGGCTTGGGGTAAAACAGCAGAAATACCTTTACTCCATCCTCACGGTCATAGAATCATAGTGTCATGAAGATAGGAAAAGAGTTCCAAGTCCAGCTGTTGACTCATCCCCACCATGCCCTCTAACAACATCCCTAAGTAGAACATAGAATCATTGGGGTTGAAAAGAGTCAAGTCCAACCATCAACCCATTCCTGAGGCCCCAGGAAGCTGCTGTGAGAGCACAATAACAGCCATCCCCAGAGGGCTTTTGGGGTGCAAGATGATGGCCCTGAGCTGGGTGGTCACCAAGCCCCCACCCCTGTGCTGCTCCTTTGGGGCTGTGGGGATAGGATGTGCCCCCAGGAACGGGTTTGTGCCATGAGCACACACCTGCAGGGAGCTCAAAGGAGCCTTTGAGCAGAGCCCCCCCAGCGGATGCCACGTGCTCATCCAGTGCCAGACACATCAGGGACGGTCTTACTGCCACAATGGCTGTTTGTCTGCTGCTGATTGCTGCATTTGGTTGTTTGTCCTCCCCTTGCTCCTTTATGTGCTCCTCTCCCTCGGTGATTCTTCTCCCACTCCACAGTTTGGACCCCACTAAAACCCTACTTCTATCTCCACCAGCCCTACCCTATGAGCACCCCACACCTCTCCCCTCTGCCTATTCTCCTCTTGTCCAGCTGTATCTTGGTGGGGGAGTTTGGCCATCTCATCCTATCCATGCTGGGGGCATGCTATGCCCAGAAGGATCCTTCACCCACTGGATAAATGGATGGACAAACCATGGACAAACGTCCCAAGCTCTGCCATGCTGCGGTGTCACTTGTGCAATGTCACCCCATTTCTAGTTGGGTCACTCTGCCCATCCCATGCTTGGGCCTGGATGCCGCCCTATATTCATTTTCCAGGGGGAAAACACCTCCCCACAGCTGAACGCCCATTTGCGTAATGGAGGAGAGCAGTGCCTAAATATACCCACACAGTCCCCTGGAGGTGTCGGGATGTGATCTCCATCAGACACAGCTGTCAGTGAGAAATAGGCCAGGGTGAAGAGAACAGGGGAAGGAGATTCAGCTTAGGGGGAGTGCATGGACCTGAGAGATGTCCCAGCTCTGGATCCACTTGCCCCAGGGGACATCACACCAAAATATCTTCGGGATCTGGGACTTGGCATCTCAAAGCCTCCATTGAGGCTGTCTTGGCAGAAATGGTCCTCAAGTGGTTTTGGGGTCGCACCACCTTGGGACACGTCCTGGCCCTGGGAGAATGGAGCTGCGGGGTGATGGAGCCATGCCACCACTTGAGATCCACAAAGGTTGGTCCGTGCACATGGCACAATTCACCCCCATTTGGGGTCGCTGGGAGGAGCGCAGGGCTCCCACAAGCAGAGAGATCCCCTTGTCACTCTGTCCGTCCCCATTTTGTCCCACTGGAACAGGGAATGACATCCACCCACTGTGCCCAACCCCCTCTCAGCCCACACTGGGACCCCCATTGGGTGACAGCAACAGCACCAGCACTGCTCACACAGAAAAAAAAATCGCATTTGGGGGCATTTTTGCCACCCAGCCTCCTTACTTTGCTTCCATTATTTTTTTCACCATTTTTTTCATTTTTTTATTTTCAATTCTTTTTCTATTTTTTTTTTTTTTCAGTCCCCCCTTCTTTTTTTTTTTTTTCCCCCCATCCCCGATCCCTGAAAATAGCTGCCGGGCTGTGACATCACCGTGCTGCTCCCGGGTTCGCACAGATCGGATCCAATCAGAGCTGCTGAACGCTGCTCCAATCCCCGGCCGGGGAGGTGATGTCATAGGGCGATGGGCCCCCCCCCGGGGGGGGGGAGGCTCAGTGCAGACCCCCGCGCCCACGTTAAAGAGCCTGGAGAGCACGGGGAGGCAGCGCAGGCACCGACAGTGCGGTGAGTGCAGCAGGCGGATGGATGGATGGATGCCTGGGGGGGAGTCTGATGGATGGGGGGGTTGTTTTATTCGGGAGGGGGTCAGATGGATGTATGGAGTTGGATATGGGTCTGGGGGGTCCGATGGATGCATTGCTTTAGAGAGATGCAGGGGGAGGGAGGGGTCTTATGGATGGGGTTGTGTTTTGTGGATGAGGAGGTGAAATGGATGTGTGGAGCAGGACGGAGGTATGGGTTTGGGTGTGTGTATGGGATTGGATAGATGGGTGTGGGGTTGGATGGATACATTGCTTTGGATGGACATAGGGGGTAGGATACATGTACTGGTTTTGCATGGACGGACGGACGGATGAATGGATGGATGGATGGATGGATGGATGGATGGATGGATGGATGGATGGATGGACGGAGTCAGGTGGGAGGACGGGGTTGGATGGATGGGTGGATGGAGTCAGATACATGTATTGGGACTGGATGGATGGATGGAGTTGGATGGACATATGGAGCTGAATGGATAGTCAGACAGATGGATGGGGCTGGATATGTATATGGATGGAGTCAGACGGATGGATGTGGTTGAATATATGCATTGGGATTGGGTGGATGCATGGAGTTGGATGAATGGATGGAGTTGGATGGATGTGGTCAGATGGATGTATGGGATTGGATGGATGGATGGATGGATGGATGGATGGATGGATGGATGGATGG